GGGGGCTCCTTGGCAAGGCTGTGCCCAGCCCAGTTGTGCCGAGTGATGATCTTCATCTTTCCACGCAGCAGCAGTTGGGGAAACCGCGTAATTAAGATTATTTAATTGCAATGGTAGCTGGTGCTGTTAAGCTGCCCGGCCCAACAACAGGCTGCTTTTATTAAGCCGCCAGCTCGCCTGTGAGTCAGGTAGGGTTTGTCAGGCTCCGCAGGTCCCTCCTGGTGATCAGCGTGCTGAGGACGTGCCCGTGATTTTCCTAAAGCTCCTTTGGAAAATTATTTTTGCATCGCTATTTCTGCAGCACGGGGGTCCTGGCTGTGGCTGTGGGTTTCCCCTCCTCCCTCCCCTTCAGCATCACGACATTTTTACCCCCCGCCTCTCCCCCACCAGCAATCTGTTGCGTTTCGCTTTCTCCTTGCGCCCGGTGACCCTGAAAGCCCAGCCAAGGATAAACATCCCATTTATGTCACAGCAAAGATTTATACCTGGCATCTCCAGCACAAGCCAGGTGAGCACCGAGACCTTTTCCATCGTATCCGTGGGTTGCAATTTATCACTGCGAAGCGATCTCGGCACCCTGGTGTGTGCGGCTGGGATTTATCTGCTGGGACAGCTGCTGCTGGGTGGATGGAAGTGAGAGGCAAAGGCAACTGTCACCGTTGTCTCACTAATAAATGGAAGATGATCATCAAAAAGAAGATATGATCCCCCTGACCCCGGGACCGTGGAGCTGTAATGGCATTGGGGGTTTGGTGGGTGCTGAGGTTGATGGATGCATCTGGCCTTGTTTTGCCGTGGGACTCTCGTGTTGCTCGGTGTCCCCACAGTTTGCCGTGTCCTTTGGGCTTTCCCAACCACCGAGCACAGGTTTGATGGTGCAGAGCCCTCCTGCCGCCCCGCAGGTGCCGGATGGCTGGCACTCCCCAATGCTCTGGGGGTGATGCCGCAGCGGCCGTACCCATCCTCTTCCTCCTCCTCCTCCTCCTTCTGCTCGCGCCCAGGCTGGGCATCACCCAAGCGGTTCTTTTCAGGCCTGGCTTTGGGGACGGATGGGTGGTTGGGGTGTGAGCCTCACTGCTGCCGTTATCCTTCTCCCCGCAGGCAGTGATGTGACGGC